GGAATTGCCCTTCCTCTTGCCCAGCAGCACAGCCAGAGTCTGCCCCCCTCCAGTCTCATATGTTGGGGGGAGAGGTTATTTAATGCCTGATGGAGTTCAGGTCAAGTTGTCCTTTGTCTTCTCCCAGCATTGTGTTCCCATAGTGGTGCCTGATGTCAGAAAACAATGTTTGTGTGAATAGCAGGCCCACCCAGAGCTATTTTAGCAGATAGGATAGAGGGGCAGGGTTTCCTCTTGCCTGGGCTCTTGTACGAGCAGCAGAAAGTTTGAATTCTCCTGATTGAGTCCCCTTCATGATGGGAGGCAGGTAGCTGTTGTGTTTCTGATGTGCTGGGGGGCCTTTCTGAGAGCCTTTTCCTTCCTTTCTCAACATTGCAGCTGGCTCGTATTCAGACTGACAGTGTGGTGGAGATGCTCCAGGTGCACCACCCACATCTCTGCTTCAAGATAGGTGAGCATCCAGGGAAGGGGGTCTTTAGAGAGAGTCTGCTCTTGAGGTGGTGTGGAGGCAGCCCAAGCAGGTATATTAGGAGCAAAATGGAGGGAAGGAGGGAGGCCATGGTTACCCTCCAACTTTTCTTTTTCTCTGATAGTTGCCATGTCAACCACTGGAGATAGGATTCTAGACACAGCCTTATCCAAGGTTTGTTCCCCTGCTTATGTGTTTGTTTTTCTGGCTCCAGACAGCCAGGGCTGTCCTGTAGGGCTATGTGACAATAGAGCCCTGGGGGTCCTGGGCAGAGTGGCCTTGCAAGACTGGAAGGGTACCTATGCTGTTTCTCTTCCCCAATAGATTGGAGAGAAAAGCCTTTTTACCAAAGAGCTGGAAAATGCGCTGGAAAGGGATGAGTAAGTGCTCTTCTTCTGAAGGTTTGTGGAACATTGGTGGTCCTGTTGAAGTGGGCTCAAAGCCCGACTCTCCAGGACCATGGGGAAAGTAACATGGGTCCCCTGCTCCCTACTTGATGGCCATTCAGTTTGCCAGGGGAGAAGCCAGCACTTCAATGCCAGACATACCGTGGCATGATGGCGGATTGCAGATTTCTGGCCTGGCATGTTTTCTTCTTTCTTTTAGAGTGGACTTGGTGGTTCACTCCCTGAAAGATCTGCCCACCTCCCTGCCACCAGGCTTCACAATTGGCGCCATCTGCAAGTGAGTTTGAGCTCCTCTCTTTTTCTTGCCTGGGTGAGCCAAGTGGTGGCCCTGCCCATCTGCCCGCCTTCCTTTTGCTTGTGAACCTGGCCACAGCAGAGGTGCCTGGGGAGTGTCTCGGGAGCAAGAGGGGCCGAATGGTGCTTGAGCTTCTTTCTCTGCTTGGCCTGCTATCCCTTTGCCAATGTTTATTGGAGAGGTTTCTGAAAAAGTCTTCCTCCGTCCTTTGCAGAAGAGAAGACCCACACGATGCTGTTGTCTTTCACCCCAAACATGCTGGCAAAACCCTCAGCAGCCTTCCTGAGAAGAGGTGAAGGGCTGGCTGGAGCAGGAGCTTGGCCTTGGTCCGACCTCTGGAGTCCCACCCTGGATTGATGCTCTAGTGGGCTGTCTGGGTGCTATGCAGGAGGGGGGGGAGAACAGGGCTGCCTTGCTTCTTGGAAAGCAGAATACAGAATAACAGAGTTGGAAGGGAACTTGGTAGTCTTTTAATCCCATCACCTGCTCAAGCAGGAGACCCTATACCAGGGGTGTCAAACTGCCAGCCTGCGGGCCGGATGCATCATGGCGAAACTGCGCCCACCCCATTGTCGGCAATGGAAAAAAAGTCACGATACGTCGAGACACGTCACGTGACGTTGCGAGTTTGACATCCCTGGCCTATACCATTTCAGACAAATGGTCATTGAGTCTCTTGTTTAAAAAATTGCAGCTTGCGAGGGGAGGAGGGAAGAGCCTGGGAGATCTTAATGGAGTTGAGGAAGGTTCTGAGTAGCCTTGCTCATCTCAATTTTGGTTTTTCTGCAGTGTAATTGGGACCAGTTCACTTCGCCGTGCAGCTCAGTTGAAAAGAAAATTCCCTTGGCTGCAGTTCAAGGATATTGTATCCTTTCATGATTCAGGCAGGCCCAAGTTCACCTTTATTCATTTGATTTCTCTGACCACCCAAACTTGCAAATCAACTCTGGGCGGCTTACAATTAAACAGAAGTCTAAAACCGGGGGTCATCTGCCTGCCCACAATGAGAAACACATGCTGGAACAAGACAGGCCTTGCTTTGCTCCTTGCTCTGGCCTTTATTGTGTCTCCAAGAACAGTAACTGCATCAATGATACACTGCCCCAATTCATAACAAAATTTAGTCTGAATAACCCAGCTTTTATCCTAAAAGAATTGAGATAACAGCTGGTTCTTATTCCTCTTGACAAAGCAGGTCCTTCTTCAAGGTACCTTTGTTTTTTCTGGCCTGAGTTTGGCCTTTGCAGCTGAGGTTGGCTTCTCAGAAGGGCTGGGTGTGTCTCCCTCCCTCAGAGGCTTAGGGTGACCAGCTATCCACACCCAGACCTACGATTGTAGCGCCCCACCTCCCGGCAGCAGGTCTGGCAGGCTAGCAGAAGCCTCTTGGTTTTGCTTAGCCTTCCGACAGAGGGGCAACCTGAACACCCGCCTGAAGAAGCTTGATGACAAGGAGGACTTCAGCGCCCTGGTTCTGGCAGCAGCTGGCCTTAAGCGCATGGGCTGGGGGAACCGCATTGGCCAGGTGAGGGGCAGGGGATTGGCATTTATGCTACGTTGTCCCAACAGCGGGGTGTTTAATATTCTATTTTAAAAAGTAGTCTGTTGCTGACTCTCACTTCCCTCTAGATTCTGAGCCCTGTGGACTGCTTGTATGCGGTTGGGCAGGTGAGTGATGGGATCTGCCTGGCCATTTGAACCTCCCAGGTTCCCTTTTGGCAATGGAGCCCCATATCTCTCCATCTGGCCTCTGGAGAACACCTGGACCTTGGATATCTGGTATTCTGGGTCTCTTCTGGAAGGGAACTGCACTGCTGAAGATCCCAGAGCCTGGCAAGGAGGCACCCTGGCTGGCCAGACTTTTTGGGGCAGGATAGACTCCAGAGGGGTGTGCTGCTACTTACTCTTCATTGCCCCCAACAGCTTCTGCTAAAGGGGGAGCTGTTTGTTTCCCTTTGCTGGGTATCTGTTGTGGTAAGAGACTAGTTTGGTGCAGAGATCTTTCTTGATCAGGCAGCAGGGCTTAGGTGAATCATTTGGAAGGGAAATCCCCCCTCCCTCCCCCAGCTCAGATGCCTGATAAGACAATGCCTCTGCCAAAGGTACATTTTTACTTAGAGATGGGAAACCCCCCAAAAAGGGACTGTGATGCAAGTCCTAAGGAAGGAGAATGCACTTTTGGGGGGCACTGAACCACAGGAATGGAAAAGGGCCCCCTTCCCTTTACTGCCCTCTCCCCCTCCAGGGTGCCTTGGCCGTTGAGGTGCGGGCCAAAGACCAGGAGATCATAGAAATGATCTCAGTTTTGCACAATGAGGAGACTGTGCTGCGCTGCATCACTGAGCGAGCCTTCATGAAGCACTTGGTAGGTCTCTCAGGCTGGTGGGGCCCCCTGAAGCACGGCCCAGCAGCCTTGCCACATCTTCAAGCTGATGCTTCCCTCCGCAGGAAGGAGGCTGCAGTGTGCCGGTGGCTGTGAGCACCCAGCTGAAGGACGGCCAGGTAAAAGCAACTGGCTACTCCCCCCCTCCTGCTTCCACTGAAAAGCAGACACCAGCAGAGTGCAGAAGCCTGCCTTGTCCTGGGGGAGAGGGAACAGTTTAGAGAGATCACCTTTTTTAAGGAACTAAAATTGAGGGGGCTGTTCACAAATGCTGGCATTTGTCTCCATTCTACTTGCTAATTGGTTTCAACCTCCCTCTTCTCCAGCTGTACTTGACTGGAGCAGTCTACAGCCTTGATGGTTCTGACAGCTTGCAAGAGACCATGCAAAGAAATGTGAATTTTTCCCTAGAGGTAACAGTCTTGGTTTTCAGAGTAACAGCTACGGAACTCCTTTATGAGAAGGGGTTCACAACGAGTTAACTAGGATAACCACACTCTTTACTGCAAGAAGCAAATCTGAACACTTTCTGGGTGTGTGTGTGTGTGTGTGTGTCTATGGTTAGTTGTCAGTTCAACTTGAGCCCCAGCATGTCATGGCCCTGGAACTCACCCTAGGGTGAGATGTGGCTTCTCCCCAAATCCTTTCCCATGGGCTGCCCTTCCTTTTCAGAATGAAGATGGTCCCGATGACAACCTCCAACATGCTGGCATCACAGCAAGGAATGTACCTCGTCTTGCTCAGGAGGCAGCAGAGAGGCTGGGCCAGCAGGTGGCCGATCTGCTGCTGAGCAAAGGGGCCAAACAAATCCTCAGCGTGGCGAGGCAACTCAGCAGTGCATGATGGGCACCACCTCCTCTGAGAGCTATGATGCCGGCCAGTTATTTATCCTTCCTGGAGGAGAGGGGAGCAAGGGATGTCCTGCCACTAGCACTGCCCGGGGGAGCAGCTGAACATTTGGTGTGAAGACACATGTTCGGGGCAAGAATATTCACCAAGAAATCACTGCTTGGTCCAGCAGAGGTGTAAAGTTGAACTCTGCTGAGGACTTGGGAACAATTATTGCTAAAACCTATTAAAAGAGAGACAGCAGAGAGTCTGGCGCTTTTTCCACTGAACCCTTCTAGGCTGCAGCCGACCGGGTTCTTAAACCCGAAAGAGCAGAAAATTCGGGGGGGGGGGGGACGGGTAACATACCAACTGGGAACTAACTCGCGACTACCCCCACGGGGCAATGCGGCTGGGCTGGAGGCCCCCCTCCATCCTAGTTTGTGCGCGGGGAGGGGCCTACAAACTACCGGACGAGCGCGCGTTTTCAACGTCCTTTTATTGGGGCGAGGCCGCGAACAGCCCCGCCTTCCCGCCGCCCGCAGTCCCGAGTCCAAGCACGTGGCACCAGCAGGGGGTCCGCTGCTTCCGCTCGCCCAGCTCCGCCGCCTCGGCTCGGTCTCCGGTTGTTCCGCAGCCGCCGCGCCTAGTACTCTTGCGAGGCCTGGAGGGTCCCTTTCTTGCGTGCCGCCGCCCCGCCGCCCTGGGCCGCGGCCTTCCGGGGCAGGAGCGCGGCGGGGATGTTGGGCAGGACGCCGCCCTGCGCGATGGTTACGCGGCCCAGGAGGCGGCCGAGTTCCTCGTCATTGCGCACCGCCAGCTGGACGTGACGCGGGACGATGCGCGTCTTGCGGTTGTCGCGCGCCGCGTTGCCCGCCAGCTCCAGGATCTCGGCCGTCAGGTACTCCAGCACCGCCGCCAGGTAAACGGGAGCGCCGGCTCCGACCCGCTCCGCGTAGTGTCCGCGTCGCAGCAGCCGATGCACGCGGCCCACCGGGAACTGCAGCCCGGCGCGCGACGATCGCGACTTCGCCTTGGCCCGGGCCTTCCCGCCGCCCGCCTTGCCGCGGCCCGACATCACAAGCGCCGAAGGAAGCGAGGAGCCGCCGAGCTGGGCGGACCCCCTTTATATGGCCCGCGCTTCTCACACTGGCCCGCCCGCCGATTGGACTCTGCGCACCGCGCTCCTGATCATTGGCTGATGCCAGGGCCACTGAGCAGACAGCGCGCGCGATTCAAAGGTTGGCAAAAAGCCGCCTCGAAGGAGTCCTTCCCAAATAAGACGCCTGCAGCCGAACCGACGTGACGCGTGCGAAATCATAGAACATAGAATCCTAGGGTTGGAAAGGACCTCAGAGATCTTCTAATCTAGTCCAACCCCCTGCTCAAGGCAAGAGCGTTACACCATCTCAAATGGTTGCCCAGTCTGTTTTTTAAAACCTCCAGTGGTGCAGCACCCCCAACTCCGGGAGGCAAGTTAATCCACTGATTATTTTCCCTGTCAGAACATTTCTACGATGGATCCCTCTTTAAAAGGCTTCCCCTCTTTACTTCTTGTTTTGCCTAGTGCTTTGGAAAATAAGTCGATCCTGTCCTGTCTGGGATGCCCCCCCATCCTGTCCTCTAGGCTAGACATACCCAGCTCCCTCCAGTGTTCATCATACAATTTAGTCTCCAGACCCTTTATCTTCTTTGTTGCTCTTCTCTGCACTCTTTCTGGAGCCCCAGCAACTTTTTTTTGTATCATGGTAACCAGAACTGGATGCAGTATTCCAAGCATAGTCTTACCAGTGTGGTACACAGTCGTACTATCACTTCTTGTGATGCTGTCCCTGTTGATGCAGCCCAGAACTGCCTTGGCCTTTTTGGCAGCTGCAGCACACGGCTGGTTCATACCTGTGGTGGCCCACTAGGATGTCTAGATCTCTTTCACCTAGACCTGTTGAGCCAGGTAACACCTATTCTATCCCCCAGCTTGATGTCATCTGCAAATTCAATGAGTTCCTCTTCTATCCCCTCATCTAGATCATTTAAGATGGAACTGTGAGGTATCCCACTGCATGCTTGCCTCCATGTAGATGTAGTTCCATTGAGGACAATATGCTGCGTGTAGTTCTTCAGCCAAATGTGAATCCATCTGGTGGTGGTACTGTCTATCTGACATTGTTCTATCTTACCAGGAAGTAGGTTGTAGCCCACTTTGTCAGATACCTGATTGAAGTCCAAGTATACTACTGTATGTCTATGGCCTTTTGTTAGTTCATTAATATAGTCACTATCAGAAAAGGCAGTAAGGTTTGTCTGGCATGATCTGTTTTTAACAAACTCATACTGGCTTCTAGTAATCATCTTGTTTCTAGGTGTTCACAAATCCTCTGCTCGATTATCTTTTCCAGGATTTTCCCAGGTATTGACATCAAATTGATTGTCCTATAATTTCCTGGATCCATCTCTCTCCTTTTTATAGATTGGAACCACATCAGCCCTTTTCCAGTCCTCTGGTAGTTCCCCTGCACTAGAAGATATTTGAAAGATTACATTCTGTGACTCCGAAATTACATCTGCCAACTCTTTTAAGAATCCTGGGATGCAAACCATGTTGCCCAGATGATGTGTACTCCTCCAGGATGGATAGGTATTCTCTTACTAATCTCTTTCTTATTTTGACTTGTATATCTGTTCTATTTCTCTCAGTGTCCCAAAGGTGCTTTTTCATGAGGCAACTGGACTTTATTTTTTCTTTGAAGACATTTCACTTCTTATCCAAGAAACCTCTTCAGTTGTGACTGGATGGGGGGGGGAAATGGATTTATATTCTTTGCAGACAGCTGGTCATTTGCATTCTTTTAGAGCAGGCATGTCAAACAGGCTACACCCAGCCCGGCCCCGCAAGGGCAAAACAAATCCCAATATGTCCCGCAATGTGATCGGGTTTGACATCCGTTTTAGAGAGGCCATTTGGAGATTTACCTGTGTCCTCAGGGTCAGCTGAGTAGTGCAAACATGTGTGGAGCCTTCTTGGCTGCAGGATGTTTTCTGCCCTGTGTCCCTTCACTGTTGAAAACAGGCGCAGGCTATTGGGGATGAGTCTGTGTTGTCTGCATCTCAAACTGAAGTGCAAATGGTTCCTGTAGTCTGCAATGTTTTCTGGAAATCTGTTCATACTCCGCACCATTCAAAGGGTGTTCATCCCAAAGTGCATGGTTAAACGTCTATGGAGATTCTCAATCATCCAGGTCCACACACGTTTGTACTATTCAGGTGACCCTGAAGACACAGGCAAACCTCCAAATGGCCTCAATGACTCTCTAAAAGAATGCAAATAGGACAACCATGACCTGGATGACTGAGAATCTCTAGAGACATATCTCTCTCAATGCTGCGTTTGGTAGATTGGGCTATTTCTTCCTTTTGTGTAAAAACAGAGGCAAAGAAGGAATTAAGCAGTTCTGCTTTCTCTCTGCTGCCTGTCACCTTCTTGCCCTCTACTCTCATTAGCAGGCCTATCGTTTCCTTTTCTTGTTCCTTACATATCAAAAGAATTTTTTTCTTTTTCTTTTTTTTCCTTGAAGAGCTTCTTAGCATTTCTTCTATTTTGCTCATCCAACATCCTCTCAACAAGCTCTCTGCAAAAAACCTCCACCTCTTCCAAATTGATGACATCAGTTATACACGTGTGAATGAAGACAAATATACGCGTCCCAGGATAATATTGCAGGATCCAATCTGGGTCGGTCACCAGGACCAGAGATTTTGTCTTCTGAGCTTTCGTGGATTCAAGTTGCAGATTTGCATAATGGGGCCATCAGCTGTGGGCCATGTGCCTCTGCCACAGCCTCCTCCCCAGCTCACCCTCTGCCTATTCCTACACCATGTCTTCAAAATGCTCGATCTCCACTTCACCCCTCTATGGCAGTCTGATACATAAATATGTTGGGTACAAAATGGGATGTAGAAAAACACAGTACAAATTTATACCCAGCAAAGTTTGTGGGAAAGGTGGTAGCACAGCAGTTCTAAACAGGCTTCAGAGCAAAATCTCAAATACATGAAGTTCTTTCAGCACAAAGTGAAGAAACCAAAATCAAATCCTCCCCTGGAGTAAACAGCAAAGAAACCGTTTATGAAGCTGAGTGTCCCCTGCTTCACCTGTTGCTACAGGCGTTGACTCTGTTGGATTCCCTCCTAAGGATGCCCATAGGCACCCTGAGATCACCAGGGGGAGAAATGTTGCTTCCAAGCTGCATCTAGGAGAGGCTGATAGTTGAACCCTTTGGCTGGTCTGATCTTCCCAGCAGTAGCAACAGCAGCAGCAGCTCACCTTCTGCCAGGAACTAAGAATGTCCTGGGCAGGACAGCATTCAGGCTTTTCTCAGATGGATTGGATAACAGGGACAGAGGAGGAGCAAATGACCACATGTCGGCTCAGGCGTCATAAAACAGTCGCACAAGCTGGTACCGGATACCAAAAGCTACCAAGCTACCAGCAACCTCAAGACAGAAAGGAGAAGAGGGATGATAGTGCAAACATGCAGCTGATTGCTCATGACTCATCATATTGAGGCTTTGCACACCTCACTGTAACTGCTAGGATGCAAAGTACCCCTGGCTATGCATCCTGCTTTGCAAACGCCCTGGCCAGTTTCACGTAATATACCACAGCAGTCAGGCAACAGCGTATGTACTGTGGAAACTAAAACTGCTTAATGTTCCCCTAGGTAGGTTTTGTTGAAAAGAGCACAACTGTCATCCCCAAGGGAGCATCACTGAACTGCCCCCCCCCCCAAGTGCTCCTTACCTGTATTAGGAGCAGCAGAACCGTCAGGTTTTGTTCAGGAGTTGGTCCTTTTAGCTTCAGCACAAAGTTAATAAGGGTCATGTTATTGCATTCTGTAAATTCTCCATCTTTGTCTCTTCCCTGACGCACATCAACTAGGCAGAGTGTCTTAGCTACCTGGAGAGAAACACGTTTTACTTATCACGTAAAGCTTCATCAGCATAAGGAAGAAGAGCCAAGACACTCTCAGAAGATTGCTGCTGAATTGTGCCTTCCCGCTTCAGTTAACAGTTACCTTGAGGGTATATGCTCCCCAAGGAGAGAGGTTCTTTGACTTGAATCTCGAGTAGCTCATCTCTAGCTTCCCTGTATCCGTGTTGAATCTGAAGGCAGAGATGGAGGCAGTCAGGGAGGAAAGGGGGATGCAGCCAAGGCCAGGATGAGCAGAAACCCGGTTGCATTAAGGGACTGCAGAGGGCACCTGATCAAGGCAGGCAACCCTTCACCCCAAGAAAAGGGATGGTTCTGAGTAAAAGTGAGAGGATCCTTTGTGAAGTTTGATTTGACAAGTCCCTATGTGAAGGAGATGGGTGGGTTCAGAAATGTGAAATATAAATAAAATATAGATCTCAACAAATAGGATTTACAGCCCCGATCTTTGCCCAGGACCACGGCCTTTCTCAGAAGCCTGCTTTGAAAGGAATAGCACTTTCCTTGGCTCTTACTCGTTGCGGCCAAGCAGCAGGCAGGCTCATCCTTTTTCTTACCTGGGCAATCGATGGCGGGGGCATGGAATGATGTGGAAAAGCTGGGGCAGTGAGTAGAGAAAGTTGACCACTTGGGGAATGAAGAAGAGAAGCATTGTCTTGCTGAAGTGCCCAAGGATGCCCACCACGGCAAAGGTCATGCCAGCAAAATAGCAGAAGGTGTCTCCCACAAACACACGGGAGGGGTACCTGCAGTAAGGCAGGAGAGAAAACAGATGTGGCAGTTCAGTAAAGACCTCTCCCCACAGAAGGCAGAAAGAAGCATTATCCATAATAAAGAGAAGGCACTTAGTGCAGAGCTGGAAGGGACCTTGGAGATCTTCTAGTCCAGCCCCCTGCTCAAGCAGGAGACCCTATACCAGTGATGGCAAACCTTTTAGAGACCGAGTGCCCAAACTGCAACCCAAAACCCACTTATGTATCGTTGGGTGCTGGGTGGGCGTGGCCCATTGGGTGGGCATGGCCCATTGGGTAGGTGTGGCTACGGTGGTAATGGCAGACTGGGTGGGACTAAAAAGTTCAATCAATTCCAACTTTGCGCCCACGAGAAGTTGAAATTGATTGAACCTTTTTTTTTTTTGCACGCGGTGGTGGAGGCCTAAAGAGAACAGGTTTTATAAAACCCAGCTGAAGGCCTAGGACTGGGGCAATGGCGTGTGTGCCCAAAGAGAGGGCTCTGCGTGCCACTTGTGGCACACGTACCATAGGTTCGCCACCACGACCCTATACCATTTCAGACAAGTGACTGTCCAGTCTCTTAAAAACTTCCAGTAATGAACACCCACAACTTCTGAAGGCAAGTTGTTTCACTGGTTAATTGTCCTCACTGTTAGGAAGTTTCCCCTTAATTCCAGGTTGCTTCTGTTTTCATCCATTTTTTCTTGTCTTGCCCTTTGGAAGCCTCTCAAATATTGGAATACTGCTATCATGGTCCTTCTTTTCTCTAGACTGGCCATTCCCAAATCCTGCAACTGTTCTTCATATGTTTTAGTCTCCAGGCCTTTAATCATCTTAGTTTCTCTTCTTTGCACTTTTTTTTTTCAAAGTCTCAACCTTTTTTTTTAATGTTGTGGAGACCAAAACTGGATGCAGTATTCCAGGTGTGGCCTTCCTAAGGCTTTATAAAGTGGTACTAACACTTCATGTGATTTTGATTCTATGCCTCTGTTTATATAACCAAGGATTGTATTAGGTGTCTGTTTCCACTTGAAACCAGATTACTCATGAGGTGACTATCTCTTCCTTCTCAGGAAAGAAAGTTCCAAAGTGCCCTGCGGGGAGTTGTGTAACCCCTCCAGACTCTCAAACTGCCACCCACAATTTGTCCTGTAAGGACTGCAGATTCTGCCATGAGAAAAGGCTGGCCTTTGCTTTCAAAAGTGTGTGCATGTGTGTGGGGGCTCTTACCAATTGTGGTATAGCAGTCCTAGCGTGGTAAAGAAAAAAGGAATCATGAAGTAGAGGGAGAAGACGTGGTCATCCTTGCAATCCCCTGCGAGAAGGCAAATAAGGAGCAGGCAGGTTAGCAAATTGACAGGACCCAACCGGGCTTTGCCGAGAGGAGGCTAAACCCTGAGTACCCACCCGATAGCTCCGCAATATTGAAAGCAATGATGGAGGCAGCAATCACCAAAGACTGCCCGGCTTCCAGACCGTTAATCCCAGCCAGAATGTTGATTGCATTGGTGCAGAACACAGCCAGCATGCCCATGTACACGTAGTACAGTATCCCTGCAGGAAAAGCACACAGCAGGAGACCCGCTTTGACCTTCCATCAACCAGCCCCAGGACTGCCCCTGCAGCCTCCCACAGCAGGGCTGGGAGCCACAGGCCCAGCGGGGGGGGGGGGCTCACCCAGGTCGAGGTAAACGCCCAGTAGCAGCCGGAAGGGCTTGGGCACCACGATGGTGGTGTTGCCCGAGTTGGTGAAGTAGACCATCAGCAGCGGCAGGGAGGCGGCGGTGGGCAGCAGCAGCTTGTGGCGCCAGCGCAGGTTGAGGACGTCGTCGGCGAAGCCCAGGAAAATCATGCAGCAGATGGCCAGGAGGGCGCCGACCAGCGCCACCAGCTGCAAGGCAGGTGGGCGGCGGGAGGGCCGTCAGCGCCGCCGCCGCCCGCGGGGCTCCCCTGCCCGCCCTGACCCGCCCCGGCTCCCGCCCCGGCTGACCTCGTGATGCGGGAAGGCCTGGCAGCGCTCCTCGGCGAAGCAGCTCAGGAAGGGCACCGGGATGAAGCAGAAGAGCAGGAGCAGGAAGACGGCGCCGCTGATCACGCCCTGCGACTCCGGGCTGCGGACGAGAGCGCTGCCGGTCAGCTCCGGCCCCCCGCCGCCAGCCCCGCCCGCCCCGCCGCCCCGGCACTCACACGGGCTGCTTGGAACGCTTGTTCAGGTCGGCCCCGCACAGCCGCGCCGCCAGGAAGTGCTCGCGGAAGGCAGGGATCAGGCGCAGCGTGGCCCAACAGCCCAGCGCCGAGCCGCCCAGGTTGATCAGCAGCGGCACCACCGGCAGCTTCCACATCGCGCCGCCGCCCTGCGGGCAGCCAAGAGCCGGGCGAGTCGAGCGCCGCTTCCGCCCGGATCTCCCGCGGACGCCTCGGCCTGGCCCCGGCGGCGAATGGCGGCCCGCTCGCCCGTCACGCGACAGCTGCCTGCGGTTCTCACGTCACCCGGCGCGCGCGCGCGCGGGCGGGGCCCGTTAAAGGGACCGCGGCTCGGCACGTCGGGCGGCGCCGCCCCCAGCCGCCCTCCCGGCTCTGGCGCGCTGCCCCTCCGCCCTGGCGCAGGCCGGGCCGGGCCGGGCGAAAGCGGGGGAGCAACCGAGAGACCCTCGACCACGTCCGCCAGGCTGGGAGGGAGCCCCGTCGCCGCAGCCCTCCGAGGGACGGAGAGACGAGGAAGTGCTGCGGCCTTGAGTGCCGCCCCAGACCGAAGAGGCGCGAGGCTCCTCGGCGCCCCCGCGCTTGCCTGGCCGACCGAGCGATCGAGGCGGCGGCGACGGCTGGATGCCGGGCTCGCCCAGCTGCTCCGGGCCCTTCGGCGCGCCCCTCGTGGCGGGCAGGAGCAAGCCGAGCCGCGTCCCGTCCGGCGCTTTTAAGGCGGAGCCGTCCCCAGGGAGGGCGGCGGCGACGGCGTTAGCCCGGCCCAGCCGTCGGCTCTCCGCGACGCGACGCGTCGCCCCGCCCAGCTTGGCCGTCAGGAGAGGCGGAAGAGCCCGGCTGCCATGTAGCTCCGCGCCGGCTCCGGGAAGGAGGAGGCGAGCCACGCTGCCCCCGCTCGCTTCGGCCGCCCAGGAGGCCTCGCCATGCATGCCCCGGACGCCCCGTGAGCGGCGGGCGCGCCATGGAAGCGGTGCCGGGGCTGGGCTGGGGCTGGGCGGTGCTGGTGCTGCTCTTCGCTGCCTCCCTGCTCACCGTCTCGGCCTGGCTGCTGCAGCTCTCCCGGAGCCTATGGCGCGGCCGCAGACGGTCGGCAGGAGCCCCGCGGAGCCAGGCGGCCCCCGCCGGCCTCTGGGCGGCCGTGCTGCGCCTGGGCAGAGCCCGCGAGGGCGCGGGGAGCTCTCCGGCGGCTGGGCCCCGCGGCTTGCTCGCCTCTCTCTTTGCCTTCCGCGCCTTCCGCGAGAACTGGCAGCGAGCCTGGCTGCGCGCCCTCAACGACCAGGCCCGCCAGCACGGGGTAAGCCGGCCGGGAGGAGCGGGGAGACGGGGGAGCTGCCGTCGGAGCTGCGCTCTGGCCGTCCCGGCAAAGGCTGACCGACCGGCGGGGGAGGGGGGGAGCAAGAAGCGGAACGGGCGGTACTCCCCTCGTCCGCCGCAGCCGCTGGCCGAAAGCCCGGCTCTTCCCGCGGAGCGATGAGGGGCTGCGCTCGCGGGAAAGCTGCCGCCCTCCCCTGGCGATTTCTTGCCGGCGGCCGCCGCTGATGGATCCCTCTTGGCCGGCTTTCTGCTTCTCCTGGCTAATCCTTGAGGGGGGGGGATCGACGGCCTGCTCCTTCCTGGCCGCCTGGGGAGTTTCGCTGTTTCCTGCATCAAGGAAGCCGAGACTGGCCGGGTCCCATGAAGAGAGACCGCCCGGTTGGGAGGGAGCTCCTTTCTGGGTGGTGCAAGCATTTGGGAGCTCTGGAGAAGTTTCTTGGCATCTTAAAATTTGGAGTTGGGCAGGAAACGGACCTGATACCCGGTGGTCCCTGTTTTAAAGCCGGAGTTTTGAGCTTCTAGGTACCTGCCCTTAGCACTTCTTTCTGCCTGTCAGAGCTCTTAATTATCCTTATTACTCTCGGAGCAAACTTCCTAAGGAAGAGTTTTCTTAAATGCAGCAAAGGTCGTTGTAGGCCTCTCTGGGTATTTGTGTAAGGAAGACAATCTGATTTGGAAAAGGTGCAGTTGCCTGAACTTCCTTTGTTTGATCAGGCCGAGCTTGGCGTCCCCCTCCTTCTGGAGCTGCACCCTACAGACCCTCCCAGTGTTTGGGGTCAGGACAGCCACTTCCTCACCCAAGCTGCTTTGTTCCACTGTTCTTAAAAAATAAAGATGGGGCAGCACCACAGCAGCTCCTGATTAAGCTTGCCCTCTTCCCTCCTAAGACTGGTCATCCATTCCTAAGTGTCCTTCTGGCCAGGCTTACTTTGCCCAGATCTGTCCCTGGAGGTTCTGAAGTTTTCCTCAGAGAAGCAAAGAACAGGTGGACAGTAGGCACAAAGTTTTCTGCAGGGGAAATAATCCTGAAGAGAAACAGCGTCAGACATCCATCACTTTGGCATCCAAGGAACCTGCTGGCAAGCGTGCTTCCCCAGGTTCAGTCACCAGCGCAGAGGTCCATCTCAGTAGAGATTTGGAGGAGGACCTAAGTCCTGTGCCAGAGTCCATGTTTTCTCACACTGGAGCTTATGTGCTGCCCCCTTTCTTTCCATTCCATCAGCAAGATCGGCCCATAGGCAGAGCCGGTACTGGAGCAAGGAAAGGCTGCCGTCCAAAGGGGCTGGATTGTGCTTTGCTTGGAAATAAGAGAAATCACCAGAAGGCTTTTCGTGTGCAGCACAGTCCGGCCCCCTTGGGACTTGCACACTGTTCAGTTGAGCTGTTCAATATGTGTAGCTAATTTCCTTGTACTGTTTGCTTAGTAACAGGCATTACGTTCACTGCTTCTTTGATTATGTTTCTAGTTCCTTGGTATAAATTCAGTCCAGAAATGATCTGTTTGCTGTATTGCAGACCTCGAAGGGGGACGCCTTGTTCTGCATCTTAAGCACCTGAACTCCCTTCTTGCAGAGAAAAAGGATCTCTTGCTTTGGGGCTGTGACTGTACCAGGATTAGGACCACAGAGTTAGACGGCCACCAGCCTCCCCTCTCCCACTCAGTGGCGACCCCAGAGGCCAAGGGAGAGGGGAGGCTGGCCCTTCTTGCAGCCCAGCCTGCGGTCCTTATCTGAAAGGGGCATGGCAGCACCAGCTTCGTGGCAACTTGGCCGTTGCTTCACCTGGTGCTGCATCCATCCCGTGAACTGGAGGTTGGTGGAGAGAGGCGGCTGCTCTGGAGCAAGCTGTTCCCTACGAATAATACATTTATTTTGGATATTTCCAGAGGGTAGAGCAAGATCTATTCTTTCTGAACAAGCGGATCCAGCAGGATTGCTTTAGGATCTCTCCTTGGCGTTTTGGCCAAAGTCCAAGCAATGTGCAGGAGTTCAGCAGGGGCTGACATTCAGCTGAGGAAAGCCTTGCACATCGCCAGCACCCTGCCTGGCTGCTCCAGCTTGGACTGGCAGTGGAGGCCAGGCGTCTCCCTCTGTGGCTTGAAAAGTCAGCCCATGCCCAAGAAGGGGACGGGTCTGGACTCCCGCTGGATGCCCTTGACAAATGGCACCTTGCAGAAGAGCCTGGATTGAGAACATGACCTTCCCACATCGGCTCCCTCCTGTGGGCTAACTAGACTTTCTTCTTCCCAGAGCTCAGTCCAGATCACGTTTGAGGAAAGCCCTCGGCAGTTGCCAGCCGTAACTATCAGCCACGTGGTCTACACTGACGAGTCGGATCACAGGATGGTGAGTTCTCCAGAGGGCCACAAGCGCGAACACCTTTGCCTACAAAGTGTGGCCCTGGTTTGAACCCAGCCAGTTTTCACATCTCTCACCACCTGCCATTCCCTCTCCTTCCTAACTCAGGGAAGCTTCCCAGTAGCCTGCAGAGTGCTGGGGGGCGCTTGTATTCCAGACAAGGGGGCTTCTGCCCTGAGGGCAGTTACCTCCCCCCCCATGCCCTGAGTCTTCCCACTCAGACTCCAGCTGACAGCCCTGGTGTCAGGGCTGGGCTCCTCTCTGAAACTGCAGAAGAGTCCCCAGAAAGCCTTAGGAAGCTGTCTAAATGCAGAGGGCTAGAAACCTCTGCTGTCCCTAAAGGACAGCTGCAACTGGGGGGAACATATATTTGGTCTGAGGTTTGCCAAAGCATTGAACTTGGCAGTTGCCCTCCATCACTGGACAACTGACCTCTTAGATCACAGCAGCTAACCTAAAGTCCTGTGGCCCTGCATGGGAAGAGACAGAGGAGAAGCAGATCAGGAGGAAGGTGGGGAGCCCTGTAGCTGAGCATAAGTGACAGAATGGGGGAGGGGCTGCTTTTTGCAGGCACCAGATGTCAGCTTAGAGATGAAGGCTTAAATTGCCAGGGAACTGAACTCTGCAAATAAGAAGGACACAGTCCTGGGATGTCAGCTGATTGGATAAGTGCTTTGCTCTGGAAGTGTTGGTCCCTCCTCCACTGAGTAAAGGAACGGCACACCATAATCCCCTGGGGACTCTCCGGAGGCCCACCTGAATGGGAGTCAAGATGCTCAGACAGAGCTTGAAACTCCCAGTCAGAGATTATAAGATAGCAGCAGAGGAGTTTGGATGTATCTATATCTAATATGAAGAGCAGCTCTGGAAGAGGGATCTGGATTAAGCTCTGGAGTTGAGCGGATTAACTTGTTTTCCTCTAAGATTGCAGGGAGGCAACAATCTCTCCTCCTGTTTTCTTGATGAAAGTTTCTCCCCCCCCCCAACTGTTATTCACTAGGTTCCAGCTCCAGCAGCTTTGTGGGAAGGCTGCGAGAAGAAAACAGGGCAGGAATACTTAATTAAAGCCTCTTTTCCAAACCTCAATCAATGAGTTATCTTCAGTAGTTCTTTCCAAAAGGTCAAAGCTGACAGGATGGCAGTTACTGAGCAATACTGCTGCTGCTCTGACTGTAGATGGAGGAGGAGGAGGAGGAGGAAGCTGTGCAGTTGCTGCTGCTCTGCTCTGGGAAGGCGCTCGGTGACTGCCCATCCCTTTCCCCCCTCCAGGTGTTGCAGTGCCTCCTTTCAACTGACACGGTGCAGTTCCCTGTCTTGGTGGCCCAGCAGTCTCCGGCAGCGGTCTCTATGGACACCTATTGTGTCTCCCTGGCTGTACGGCAGGCCCAGGTGAAGGAGGCAGAAGGAGGGGGTTGAAAACTCTCCATGGGTTGGTCTGGGGCGGGAGGGGGTGGGGTGCTTTGGGCCCCAGCGTTTGAGACAAGGTTGGCCTCTGCATCTGGCACGGCTGATGTTGCCTTTAGTGGGATTTATTTTTGGTGATCATAGCCAGCGTTTGCATTTCACCCTGCCTGGCAATCTGCCCTGACATCAGCTTTGTCCCATTGGCCAGTTGGAGATCCGCCTGGAGGAGGTGGAGGCCGAGGGGCTGCTGGTCTCCTGGGCATTCACAGACAAGCCCGACTGGAAGATCTCCCTCCCGCCGAGACTCCAGCCGCACAGTGTAAGCAAAGGAGGGGACAGCAATGCAGGAAGAGCCCCCCCCCATGGTCCTTCCCCTCCCTCTCATGGAGCTCTGTGTCGCTTCTGCCAAGGAGACCCAGGGGGGCTTTTGCCAGGCCCTGCAGGTACCTTGCCAAGCAAGGGGTATTTGGCACCAGCCTTGTGCAGGGATGTCTTGGGGCAGGCGTGGCCCTCTGCCTGCCTAGGATGCCAGGTGGCCAATCCAGGTAGCTCACGGCGACATTCAGAGGAAAATGGTTTCCTGAGCTTCACTGAAACTCGCTACTGCATGTGCTGCAGCCCAGGGGTGTTTTTGCAATCTGACCGGATGCCCTTATAAAACTCCTGCATCGTGTTGGGCACCTAGCAAACCGCCACCCAGCCCAGTGGGCACTCAGTGAATGCTTGGCAAGAGCTTGAATTAACCTGCCGGCATGTGGTGGGAGCCGACAAGAGCTGCTTCCCAGCTGGTGTTTCTGTGGTGGCAGCTTTGCAGGGCCAAGTCTCCCCTCACTCCGGGAAAGGAACTTTTCCCCTGCTGGCTGGTCTGGCATAATTTTCCTGGTGCCCCTTACAGGAAAACGATGGCAAGGCAGACCTGTCTATCATCAAGAATCTGATTGAAGACTCCATTATTAGCACCCAGCCAGCCATGATGGTGAATCTGAAGGCCTGCATTATGAATGCCAACATGGTAAGGGTGGAGGGTTGAGAGGGAAAACTTAATAGGGCCCGTCTGGGCATTAAGATAAGGCCGAACCCACCATTCCTTTCAGCCAGATATGCGGCTGGCCCTCCTTCACTGTTGACCATGAAGAGGTTAGGTCAGCATTTCCATTGCCTGCTTCCTTTGAACCCAGGGCAACCTCTGGAAAGGGGAGGCAGTGTCCATTTCACATCTTTATTAGCATTCTGCTTCACATAAACTGATTGACTCGGGGAATCACAGAAGGACAACAGCAGTTCTGGCACTTCCTGTGGGCCACCTCAGACGTTTTTGGGGGAGGGGGAGGTTCCTCCAGCCAGCTACTCAGTGCCCCCTGGCTCTCCCCCACAGGAGCCCAGCAGCAGGCTTTCCCCGGGATCCCTCTCCAGCTCAGTGCCTGCCCTGATGCCCAAGCTGCTGCTCCAGAACCTGCGAGCTCTGCACCTGGGATCCCAGGAGAGCCAAGGTACCAGGCACTCCAGGCATTTTCGGACCTCTGGTCTCCTGCCGCATGGGGGGGGGGTGTCTGATGGGGAATCCGGTGAGGTGAACTTCGCCTACACTGCTGTGGGCTTCTCTTGCAGGAAATGGGCTGCTGTGTTGTGAAGTGGAGCTGGATAGCCCTCGGCAGCAGAAGAGAACAGGCTCTGTGCCGGCCGGGCCGGCTGCTGAGGTGGAGTGGCCCAGCAAGCTGCTTCTGTAAGGAGTCCTGAGCTTCCGGTATTTGGGTCATGGGGGGAGGGAGCTGGGAAAGGATGGGTGTCATGGCCAGAATCCTAAAATAGCAAAACCAGTCCTGGCTGGCCTGCCCTGAGAAGAAGGCAGATGCTGCCCACTCGCCCCCCCCCCAGGCTGTCTGCGCTTCAGGCCCTCTCCCTTCCTTTGGAGAGCTCTGCCCTCAAAGCTGCTGGGCAGTGAGAAAGTGGCCCTGATCCAGGAAAAGAGCTAGCAGGGCGAGGCTGATGGCCTCTCTGCTTCCTTCCTTCCTGCCCTGGACAGGGAGCTTGGTCCCCGGAGCAAAGAGTTGGTGCTGAGAGTGTTTGAAGGCAGCACTTTTGGAGAGGGTAAGTCATCTGTGGGCAGCTGAAGGAGTGCATGAGGCTGGGCCGGGGGAACTCTGGGGCTGGGCTTGGCTTACAAGCTAACAGCTGGAAGAGCAGAAAGGGGGTAGAAGCATCTCACCTGGGTGGCTCTGGCTGGCATCTGTGAGAGGAAGGAGCTGCTGCAGTTCAGTGGGCATCACATGCTGGGTTTTTCCTTGCAGATGTGCTTCTGGGATTTGTGGCTGTCCCCATAGACCCCTCCTCCAAAGAGCCGCAGGGGCAGCAGCTCTACCTGCTGAGTCCAGGGGCTCCCAAGGGTCTGCCCCCAGCAGCAGCCATTGCCGTGGAGGTGAGAGGCCAGAAGGGGAGGCTAAACTGTTTCGTGATTGCCTGCCTTGCTTTACGCTTTTGTCTGCTCCACTCAACCCCCAGTTTCTCAGCTTTAAGCCAAGCGCATTGATTTGGAGTGCAGGGCTGGGCAAAGTCCAAACAATAGAGGTGGGGGAATGTTTTGATGAGTCTACGTGGCTTATAAAAACTTTATACTACCTTTTTCAAGCAATAAAGCTCAAAGAAACCCCCTTCTCGGAACAGGAGAGAATGATGTTGGTCTCCATCTCCAGGCATGCTGAACTGTTGGCAGCCAATGTGATTCAGCTGATCAGCTCCAAAGCAGACAATTTGGAGTGGCTGAATTTTTGTGTGTCTTTTGTGTATGTGAGGCAGAAAGCTGGCTTCTCAGGTTTTGCTTTTCTGAGTTGTATTTGGCTGTCTTGGCAGCTGCTCCACCAGGACATGCCAGAGCTCCAGGCTGCCTCCTCCCTGCGCACCAGCATCACTCCCACTAAGAAGATCGAGATGGGCCGGACCATAATGCCCGATGGCACTATTGTCACCACCGTCACCACCATCCAGTCCAGGCCCAAACTGGACTGTAAGCTTGGTAAGATATCCTAATTTCAGCCAGCCAGTCAGGCTTGCAAGTCATCAGCCAACTGGTTTATGCGGCTGGAGAGCACCCCAAATGGCCTCCTGATCACATGGATCTGGGCAGTAATGCAACATTCAGCCTGAGCAATAAGGAGAGAGCAGGGTTTGAGTGGTGGGAGCCTGTACCAGGGCCAGAATTCCTCTTGAAGCAGCTGCTCCCCCCCCCCCCATGAAGGCTGCAGCTGTGCGTTGTCCTAGTGCAGGGGTAGGCATAGCTGACTCAGGAATTATGGGAGTTGAAGTCCATGAGTCATAAAAGAGCCAAGGTTGCCTATCCCTGTCCTACTGCAAAGCATGAGTGGAGCATTTCTGTGGTGCTGTTGAAGGGAGGTTTCTGCTGGATGTGATTGACGCTTTGCTGACCCTTCTTCCTCCTGCACTCTAGATTCACCCTCAAGATCTCCATCCAAAGTGGAAGTTACAGAGAAGGTCACCACGATGCTTCCAGAAAATGGCTGTCCTAGCAGAACATCTCCCTGCAGTAGCAGTGAGTCACGTCAGAAAAGAACAATTAGGGAGATTGTGAGATGGACAGTGCTGGTGGGATGCTGCCCCTCCAACACAAGATGGGCCTTTTTGAAGAAGCAGTTGACCAGCTGCGTCTGTAATTTTTCACTGTCTTCCTTCTCTCCGACCTTGGCTGAGACTAGACATGGGGACGGGAGCCAGTTCCAAACAGGAGGACAGTTGGGTTCCTTCCAGATATTTTGGATTGCCTGATTGGGCAAAACAGCTGTGGATCATGGGAAAGAGTTCAGAATAACTGGAAGGCACCAGATTACCCTGATGAAATGCTTAGAGTATTGGATAGGAAGAATTGCCGCTTAAATCTATATTCACTTTGCTGAGTTGACCTGGTCCAGCCAGCATGTTCTCTCTTTTTTGCTATTTTTTTATTTTGTTTTATAATATATTTTATTAATTTTTTAACAAAGCATAAGTCACTCAATAATTGGTAAACAGTGTGTTGTCTGGGTTACATTTGTAAAAACACTCAACAATTGATTTCTATAATCTGTATTCCATATATTAATTTTAGTTGATTTCCTCTTTCCCAAAAACATCCTTTTTTGCAAACATTGAGTTAATACAATTCTTATTGTTTTAATAAATGACAATTAAGTATATACTTTTTCCAATATTCCTAAAAAAATAATCCTCATATTAGTATATTTCTTTTCTTTTCAGTCATTTGCGTTGCCTTATCATCAATCCTGTTACAATCCTTATTTTAGTTTATTTCTCCCACCAAATTCTAAATATTCTTACTAGTAAAGGTTTTCTCAACGATTAGTTACATTTACATTGACAGATTTAATTCTATTTTTTCCATATAAGCCATCTCACATTTTTACATTTCTTAACTAATAGATAAAAGAGTAAAAAGAGAGGGGGGAAAACGAAAAACGAAAAAGAAATAAAAAATAAAAAAGAAGAAAAGAAAGCAAGAGCAATGGAACATAAGAAATAACATACTACTTAGAATATATATCCCTCCTAGGTTAATATGTATTTATTTCCTCAAATTTCTTATTCTTTTTCATCATAGTTAAGAATATATTTAATCTTTAGACATTCCATTCAATAGGTCTAGTCATCTAATCCCTTAACTCTGATTCAAAGCATTTTTATATACTTTTCTTAAATTCAGTCACATTTAAGTATCTAAAACATTTCATCCCTCTTAGAGTGGTATATTCCAAAAATTTTCTATTTCTTTAACCATATTCAAACACATGCTTCTTTTTAAGTATTCTCTCTGATATGACCCATCATCTATTTTCTTAGTTTCCATCTTAATCTTTTTTCTTTGCCCAGAATCTTTCTTAATCAATGTACTTTGCTGAATCAAAAGGTTTTCCAGTATGATCATAGGTGTTGCTGCAGATATAAAAAGTAAATCAATGTCTTTGTCATGGGCATTTGCCCACTCCTTTTTATTAGGAATCTTTTTCCTTCCTTTTCTCTCCACTTCTTTTATCACTTTTTGTTTCTTCATCCAATCCTTTCTCTTCTCTTCAAATTTGCTTTGTAATGTTGAAATGTAAGTTGTCTTTTCTTCCACTTGAATTAAATCATACTCTTTTATTTTGTGGAAGTCCATCTTTTAAGTCTTTATCCTCGGATTTATATTCAGTCATTTCTGCTCTATTCTCCTGAGAGTTTTTTGGGAGTAAAATTAAATTGGAGATAAGTTGATTTATACTTTCAAAGTTGTTTTGTATTTCTTTGTAGTTTGAGATCATTGTCCTTTGAATTGATTGCAGCTTATCATATATTTCCTCTTGTAAAGTATACATTGTTTCTGTAGGTCTCACTTTATCTAAACAGTTGTGTTTATTAAAACTTGGAAGGCCACAGGCAGAGATTTCATAATCCTCATCTACCAGTAGGTGTCAGCATTGGATCATTTTTCAGTTCTTTCTAGTCTTTTTCCTCCTTAAAGGGTTAGATTCCCCGCTTCCAATAGCCAAAAGGGTGGGGGGGAAAAACCCCACCCTTTTTTTTTACTCTTAGAGGTATTTTTGCTTCTTGGGAGTTCTCCTTTTCAGGAAAATAAGTAGGATAGAGAAAATCAATTCTTACCCAGCTTCAAACGCACTGTTCACAATCAGTTTATAGTAGAGCTTTTGACTTCCGTTGCTTGCAGCTGGAGCTAGACAATGGAGTTAGCTAGCCTTTCTCCTGTTGGTTCTGGGAGACTTCTCCTGGACCGATCGGGGAGACCGCCACCTCTCCTAGATCCCTGGGGCTACCTTCCTTCATTGCCACCTCTCCGGGGCAGCTTCTGGCCTATTTAGGGTCCCCAAACAGGAAGAAACTCAGGTGGAGAACTCGGCATCCCGAATCTCTCAACTGATTTCACTGCTCGCAGGAACCGGAAATCCAGCCAGCATGTTCTTGGTTTCACCTGCCTTGCTGGCTGGCTGGCCTGGAGGAAGAATCAGGCACCATCATGTTTAACATCAAGTTAAACAAGTCTGAATGAAAAGAGATGCCTCTCGGCCACTAGCACGGTACACTTGCTAGCACGGTACACTTGCTAGCAAAGCCAGGAGTTTGCCAGAGCCACTTTGTGCAATTGGCATCTTGGGCAGTGTGTCTCTTCTCTCCCAGGAAGCAGCTGTGTGTCCAACGGCCTGGATCCAGTGGCCGAGACAGCCATCAGGCAGCTGACGGATCTGACCAATAAGCCTGCAAAGAGGACTCCAACCAAGCGTAGTACACTGATCATCTCAGGAGTTTCCAAGGTAACTGGCAGTTTATCTGGTTGAGAGTTGACACTGCTTTGTTATTTTCATTTATTCATTGGATTGGGCTTTCGTGCTGCCCAACTCCAGACCACTCTGGGAAGCTCTATTGTTGAGAAGGAACCGGAAGTGAGGGCAATCCCCTCCCCCCCCAACTTTCAGCTTCTCTTTGTCCTGATCTGCAGGTACCCATAGCACAGGACGAAATGGCCCTCTCCCTTGGCTACACCGTGTCACTGGGGAATCCCCTGCAAGAAGACCCCATCATGGCTGGTCTGTCAGAATACACGCCGCCAAGCATCTGCGATGCCACACAACAGCTGGAAAGTTCATACTCGCCTCAGACGGCGAGCCAGGATCTGGACGAAACAACACATTCAGACATCTCTGAGAGACCCTCAGTGGATGACATGGAATCTGAAACTGGCTCGACAGGTGCCCTGGAGACCCGGAGTCTGAAAGACCACAAAGGTGAGGAAGGAGGCCAGCTTTCTTTTGGGCGGGGACCTCCTGGCCCTCTTCTGTAGGAGTAGCCAGGATTTGGGAGGTGGTCTCTGAGCCATTCCCCAACCAGCATGATGGAGGCTTGGAGCTCCTGTGCTAGGCAAGCCAGCAGTGCAGGTTCAGTCTCCTCCTCCTCCTCCTGCAGTGGGTTTCCTGCGAAGTGGCACCAAACTGATCTTCCGGAGGAAGAACAAACAGAAGGAGGCAGGCCTCAGCCAGTCGCATGATGACTTGCCCAACGCCAGCAGCGCCTCCGCCCCCAGGAAGAAATCCGGAAGCTTCTCGCGGCGCCTCATCAAGCGCTTCTCCTTCAAGGGCCGGGCAAAGAGCAAAGCCAACGGGAGCACCCCGTCGGTGGAGAAGCCCTGAGGAGCTGCTGCGTTGGCTGTCTCCAGAAGCCCCCGACCGTCGCTAATGGTTGTCTGCTGTCTGTGCACTGTGGCCCCAATCCCCCCGTCCTCCTGTGCAAAGGGAGTGAAGGCCTGGGGGCAGGTGGGTCGGTGGGAAGTCTTGCCAATAGCCATAGGAAACGGACGCTTGGTGGAATGAGGAGTGTAATATACTGCTCTGAGTATCTGCTGAGCACTCCTCTTTTAGCCTAGGTGGGGAGTGGGCAGCCCCCATGGGCTACCTCCAGCCTGAATCTGAAATTTGGTGTGTGTGTGTGTGTGTGTGTGTGTGTGTGACAGAGAAGGGTTTTATCCAACAACAGCCACTCTGCCTGCCAGGCTCTGTTGAACAGCAAGGGCAAATAGCTGGCTTCCTTGGCATCTGTGGGTTCATGAGACATGATGAGAAGGGTAGACAAGCCAGGCTCTTGGGCCCTGAACTGTGGTTCCCAAAGACCCTTCAGTTGCAGACCCTGGCCCGCCTTTGAGAAAGAAGGACCTTGGTTGCTGTCAGAAGGGAGCCAGAGAGCTTCTAAGCAGAAGTCGCCTGGTGCTGCTTGCTCGATCTCTTCCTTGCCAGACTTGGTGGCATGGAATGGAGGCCCCTTGCTGAGTTCCCGTCCCCTGCAGGGCACAGCAGGGAAGGGGAGAAAGGAGGCACCATCTGCTGGACACAGCTCTGGAGGCTCCCCGAGAGACTGGACTGCACCGCCCTGACGTCCAACTGGATGCTGTTCCTGACCCTGACTGGCAATGCACATGAATTGGGGGAGGACACTTGTTGAGGTGGGCTGGCCCCTTCCTGCAGGTTCCTGGAAACAGACTGGGAGTGGGAGGAGGGGCAACAAGGAAATCACTGTTTTGTTACCTAGAAGTCAGGTTTTTGGACAAATTTGGAACAGGCTTCACGGAAACCCCATGTTTCTCATTGGAAATTGGGGGGTGGAGGGGGTGTCAAAGGCAATTCCAGGTGGGATGGCTCCCCTTTCTATGCTGCAGGTTGAACCCTGTCCCGGCCCCCAACCCTCCAGTGGATTTCTCTTCTGGCTGCTTGGGTCTGCAGGTCAGGGCTCTTGCTGTGCTGCCCTTGCCCCATCAGCCGATCCCTCAGGAGGACAAGCTTGTGGAGCTGCTTGTGCCCACAAAGGAATGCCTGCAGCTTTCCCTAGATAGGATCGCACTCCACAGCTGCAGGGAAAGTGCGCCCCCCCCACCATGTGCTGCAAGGCAGGTTTGTCACAATAGGCCCCGGCTGGTTATGGCTGCCTTGGCCTTCAGCAGGGAGTGCCAGGGCATCGAAGCTTCCTGCAGGGTGTGTGTGTGTGTGTGTTTCAGGGGGGTTGTCTGCTTGGGGAGAGGAGGGAGGTGTGCCCAGCAGGCACATTATTCCTGCTGACCCTTCAGCAGCAGAGAAAGTGATGCGTTTTTCCCTGGGGTGTCCTGGGAACCTGTGTCCCGGAGGCCAGTTTCTATGATTGTTCCTGTCAGTTTGATGGGGGAGGGGGGAGCTGAAGAGGTCAATTTAGGCTGTTCAGTTTAGGCTGAAGTCATTGGTACAACTTTGCCATGAAGACCGGCCATTCTATGTTTCTCTCCTGACCTCCTGCTGGCTGCAATCCTGTGATTTGACTCAACCCTGTCCGAGCGCTGCAGATAACACTGTATTTGCCGATTTGGCTACCTTTGCCATGTTTGTCTAGTCTTGATGGAATTACTTGTAGATTTACCTTTGAAACACTTTGGATCAGAGGCGTCCCATTTTTTCCATTTCTAAGAGAGGTGAAGATAAAGAGTTAGCCCTACATTCTGACTTCTGTGGAACTTGGTTTAGGAACAGAGTCCTGGCTTTCTGAAGAGGGAGGGGGCATTGCCTGTAACATGCATCTTAGAGCTTGACCAGCACAATCCTTGGACTTACCCCAAGGCAGCCAGGCAAATTGGCTTTAACCAGCTGCCCGTAATGTCCATGCCAAACTTCAATACTCTTCCTGGCTTCTTTTGAGCCTGCTGCTTGGAAAATGTTTCCTGTCACCCAGAGAAGAAGGGGACAATCTGAGGCCTCGTCTTATGGGAGGAAAAAGTTGAGACATCAGTGCAATAAAAGTGATGGCCAAAAGTCAAACTGTAGTTCGCGCAAGAGCCAATAAACAGTGCAGGGCCGAGGAAAGTGGAAATGTATCCCTTTATTTCTGATCAGAAGCAAAGGGGCTACGAGGAGCCCTGAACAAGACAGGCATTCTATTTTTATACCCCAAGGTACAGGAAATTCAAAATGGCAACACAATGATTGGTTGCAAATTTCATATTATGGCACGTGTATAAGCAATGATGTTCAGCGTGGAATAACAAGTATACAAGCCGTCCTGTTCAGGTGTTCTTAGCATGATCTATACCACATAGACCCCTGCTTGCCCCTCATCCCAAGCTGAAACAAGCTGCTAGGTGCTGTTCTAATGGCATCCTATGCCTCTGTGATTTCTCTGTAGGGTCTGCTTTCAGCAATGCTTGCCAAGCGTGCGGATCTTATTCTGATCTAGCTAAGCTACTGGCAGCTTCCTGTCCTGAGTTTCTATGCAGACAAGATGAAAGGAGACGGAAAATAACTGAAAATATGTTCCTTTTAAATGAAGCGCTTTCAAGGTTGGGGTCTGAGGCCCTCAACAGCAAACCATTCAGCAAGTCCCCAGATGGCCCAAATATGGAGCTTATTGAAGAGATCCAGTTTAAAAACAGCTTGCAATGGGAAATGAAGGAAGACTGGCAAGCAAAGCCAGTGCAGAAGCTGCTGAGCATCTTAGATTAGTCTGGCAGCCGGCCAGCCAGTGCTTCGTGCTGTAATGTGGAGAAGCTCTTCTGACCATCAAACTAACATGGCTGTTACTTGGGCAAATGTGTTCAAAATTAATTTTTTAAATGGAGTGGTGGTGGTACTTTATAGCTTGGTTTGCTCCAGGGGCTCAAGGCAAGCACAGGATGCTCCCAGACTGTGGGGCTTCTGGCTGCATGAGGAGCACCTAGGCCTCGTGCTTCCGCTTAGGGGTCAGTGTCGGTAACTGTGACCTCAGTGGGACCAGTGGCGTTTGGTGGGAGGGATTCCCTCTCAGGCTGGCAGGGCCTCCTACAAAAAGGCGTTCAGGTGATCCAAGGCCAGGTTACCCATTGCCCGTCACTTTTCCATCCTCCTCTAAGACACGGAGCAGCAGGGCAGGTTGTAACTTTGGCAGGCTACCTCTCAACCTGCGCTAAGACACAGCTGCCTTTGCAGCTGGCTGATGCAGTTGCCATCAGAGAGGAGCTCCAGGGTCCCTGCCCTCTGCTGATCGCCCCTGTGCTGCATCTCAGGCAGTCTCCCAGCGAAGGATCCCACGCGTGAATCCAGTGTGTGTATTGTCCCAGATCGTTTTACATGGGAAAGCCGGGCCAGGGTTCGCCTGAGCCAAGCATTCATTTAAGGTGAAGGGCCTACCTTTGTACCCGTTGGCGGCCCTGCTGCGCCTGCTGCCTGTGACGGGCCTTATTAAGCTGCACTGGACTCCAAGGCCGCGTCCAGAACCCCGCTGGGCCTGAAAGGGGGAGGCGGAGGGAGGGCTTTCTCCATTGATGCTTCATCCACTTACAGGATGCACGAAACCACGGAAGCAGCAGAGCCGGGAGGACGAGGGAGAGGAGGCGGCGGCGGCTTCTTCCGCTGCCGAGAAGCCCGGACATCTTCGCCCGACCGTCGCGGAACTTTCCTCCCCGTCGCGGCGCTTATCCCCCGGCAGGTCGCTTCCACCGAGGGCCCCGAGAAGGGCCCTTTCCGGACCGCGAGAGCAAAAGCGTCGGTCCTACCGGCAGAGGGTAGATGAGCCGGCGGGCACGGGGGCGCCGGCGGAGAAACGGGGCTGCGGCCTCCACCCTGCCGTCCCAGGGCAGCTCCCTCCCATCGCCGCGGCCCCCTGGAGCCGGGTTGCGGGCGCCGAGCGGACGAGATTGAACAGCGGCCGCCGCCTCCGCCCCCCCTCCCGCCGGCCGCGCAGCTCCTCCTCCCGCCGCCTGCGCAGAGGCACCTCCTCCGCCCCCGGGCCCGGACTACAGCTCCCGGCGAGCTCCGGCAGAGGAAAGCTTGGCCGCCGCCGCCGCCGCCTTTCCGCCCGCGGGCCCGCCAACTCTCCCGCCCCGCCGCGCCGTTGGCAGCCGCCGGAGATGCCGCTGTAAAGCCGCCACCGGTCCGCAGAGGCGCCCCGATGTCTCCGGCGCTGCTGGCGCTCTGGCTGTGGCTAGGCTCGGGCGGGGCGCGCGGCCTCGGAGGCGCCCCGGCGGGGCCGGCCGGGCTCC